GTGTGTGTGTGTGTGTGTTCGTGTACACATTTGAGTGTGTGTATATGAGTGAGAGATAGCATGTGTGTATGTATATATGTGTTTACGTGTGCCCAAGTATGTATGGGTATGTGAGTGAGCACCTGTGTTTGTGGGGTCAAGCATGTGTGGTGACAGCACACCTGCTTGTGTGCCCACGTGTGCCAGCAGTGGATGGTGAGCTGGGATAACATGGGCATGCTCAATGGCTCCATGAGTGATAACACATTGATGTGGGGATTGTGTATGCACTTGGCTTGTGTCGTTTGTGTGAGTGACACTGTCCAAAAAGTGTGTGGGCTTAGGACTGCACAGGCTCATATGGATGGATGCAGATGCGCCTACGCTTGCCTGTGCTCTCACAAACAGACATGTGTGGACACCCGAGTTTCATGAGGACTGTTGGGCAGCATTCAGTGACTGTTGGGTCTGTGGATGTGTGGATGTGGGAAAGGCCTGCTGGAATGCTGGGAGTTTGAGAGGATGCTTGTGGCATTCTGGCTCAGGTTTGGGGTTCAGCTGGATGCAGATGAGCAGGACATGAGCAGGGCGGACTACAGGCGGGACCAGGCTCGAGTGCCACCTTGCCTCCCGGCACCTGCCTCCTCCTCCCAAACACCTCGGCTGCCAGCACTTACACCTCCGTGGACTTCTGTTCATTGGTTAGGCCGGCCCCCTCCACAGTGAAGATGCAGTCGAACAGGGGCTCTGAGAGTGGGTTCCGGAGCGACACCTCAGCCACCAGCTTGCGGTTCTGCTTGGGCTCCCCTAGGACCTGGAAGGGGTTCAGATGAAAATCAGGGCAGGGAGCCTGGCTGGATGCCTATTTGCCCGAGTTTGGCCCAAAGTTTGGTATATGAAGCCACTCCCAGCTGTCACCCCCATGCCCTATCTCTGTGCCTCAGTTTCCTCATCTGCAAAACACAGGTGGAGGTCCCCACCTAGGTCTCTTTCATAGAACTTTACTAGGCTCCAGGTAACCTGAGAGATGTAGCTCTCCTGTGTCTTAGTACCTAGAGCAGAAAAATCATAGGTTGGAGTTGGGCTGAATGCCCTTTTCAGCATGTGACCCTGGGGAACCCCAACCCTCTCTGAACCCTGTTTCCCTCATAGGAGAGAGCTGCCAGACTTGGGAGTGTCTATGGGATAGATGAGCAAAGACGTTCAAGCCCCTGGTGGACTAGCCCACAGAGCTCGCCACCCCCACGTGTCTGCTTTGTACTGTGGAGCAGCTGCATCTGGGGTTCTGGGGCCCCTCAGAGGAAGGCTGGGAGGAAGATGGCGGTGGCAGCACAGTCACCTCTCACCAAGCCTTCTAATGTGGGGGTATAGCTCTAGCTTCTTCCTGTGGACATGCTCAGATTCTCCCAGCACCCCTGAGTGCCAGCATTAATCCTGTCTGACAAAGGACTTAACTGAGGGCCAGGGAGTGAAGGAGCACGCCTATGGTCACCCAGGCACAAACCCAGGTCAGCAGACTCACACCCTTCTCTGGTCCCAGCAGCATCACCAAAGCCTGGAGACATCAGCTTTTTAAAGGATTCCTGGGTCCTGGACCCCTCTACTCCAAGCCCCTGCCACTCTATGGCTTCAAGGCCCCACATTCTTAGTTTTATGATGCCAATCTTTCATAAGATCCTGAGGTACCAGGCTGCAGGGAGGCAGGTGGGGTGGGGATGGGACTGCTCCCTCCTAGTGCCAGGACCTGTCTGCCCCTTACCCGGATCTTGATTTCTGGATTCTCCAGGTAGAGGTCTCTCTCTGCCAGCAGGTAGCTGTCGGCAGCCGGCTCGATGAGGAGGCCTCGAACCTTGATGAGGTTCGACTCAGTCAGACAGTCCCCATACCTCTCATAGAGGATTCGAAGGGGAATACTATTCTCTGCAATGGGGGAGAGGGAGGCAACGTGAGGTGTGAGGTGTGAGGGCTGGATCCCTGCTGCCACCTTCTTTATACAGAAGGGAAGGAATGTATTTAAGTCACCTGCCTTTCCACAGGAGGAACAGGTGACACAGCAAAGTCGCCCTTCAAAAAATTAGTTTAAAAAAATTTATATATTTTTACTTATGTGTATGAATGTCTTCTCTGCATGTATGTAAGTGCATGTGTGTTGTTCAGTGCCCACAGAGGCCAGAAAAGGGCATCAGATCCTCTGGAGGCACAGATAGTTGTTAGGTGCCATGTGGGAACTGTGCACTGAACTTGGGTCCTCTGCAAGAGCAGCCAGTGCCCTTAACCACTGAGCAATTTCTCCAGTCCTGCAGCACCCCCCCC